TTTACAGTGACTTTTCTGTCAAGCCAGTCCAATCGGAATTTATTCTTGACATTTGAGTCAATTTCTAGGATTAAAGACTCCTGATCTTTCGTCAAAAATTTCATAATTCCGCTCAAAACGATCCCAGAACAATGAATTTGCGAGACGAACAGGCCGCCATGAATCAGGTAAAACAATATGTTACATGCAATTTGATTGGTCCAATCGCTTGTAGTTAACCAATCGCTGGGCCGTTTATAATCGAGCTAAGACTTCCGCAACAAATAATGCCTTCGGTGATCTGATTAGTTGAAGCTTTCATACACGTCCAATCGCAGGGCTGTTTACAAACGGAAAAACGGAGAGACTGTTCGGGAGAGCTCGTGAAAACTCGACGATAAGGTACCTGACCGCCCCTAAAATTTTCTCAACGGATTTAGACGATTCACAAAAATGATCAATTTAAGAAATAAAACGGCGGATTTCCGCGGATCCGCGGAAAATTGCCATGTATGTACATTGTACTTTAGTTAAATACAACTGAACTGCACTTAACAAATGCATCGCACTAATACTTGTGCATATTACTAGTGGTATTAGAACCACACCGAGAAACACTGCTTTAGGAGGGAAAAAAAAAATCACCTACAAACATTTGTATTCTCACAACCACTGGGTAATGAAGTGAGGAATTGTGTGTATTTGTTTTGGTTGGCTATGGTGGTCACTTAAACACAGTAACGAAATTTTTCTTTTTCAGTGTTAAAAAAAAAAAAGAAGCTAAAGTGACCCTCATTTTTTAATTTAGATTGTAAACAGACAATGGAAAGAATATAACTGTTTACACGGGTTGTTTGTCTCATGTAGTTGGGTGGTTTTCTTCAACAGCACTCACCAACATATTTCTTTTCAAACTCTCCTGTAAGATGTCGCTTCACAAAAGTTGTTTTACCGGTGCCTCCATCACCCACCAGAACAAGCTATCAAAGAGACAAAGCAGTTGTAACTGAATTAATTCATCTTTACACCCCATGTACGATAAAGATGTGGAATAGGTGAATAAACGCACCTTAAATACGGCCGCTGCAGATTCATCCAGGGACATGTCTGCGAAAACTAGGAAAACAAGGCGGGATTATTCGCACGTTTGTACCCCATCCTCGGCTTCATGCAGAGATCGCCAGGAAAGAACGGCGTTGCGCCAACAACAATGGACTTGAGCCAAATGCAACTCACCCCCCGCCCCATAAAAAAACTAATGTATAGTTTTTCTTTTATGGAGCTATTTTCTAGATGACGCCCGATTACGTTACAGCGCCCAGTTCTAGTATGTTCCATGGTAGCCTAGCTCAACTTTCGACATACGCACTTTAGCCAATTGAAGATTACGCTATGAAAACGTGGTAGAATTAAAAATGACCACAATCGAGTGATCTGGCTGACGCGCGTGTCTTTACTGTGAGCCATTCCAACGCGCAAGTGCACTTTTGCTGAACAATCGAAGTGGAAGAGACTACGAAGTTTCAGGCCGTAGCAGAAGTAGGACGACAAAAGGCTCACCCCGCAATATCTAAGGGGGATGATTGGATCCTACCACACGTCTTTTTTTATCCTCGTGATGTTTAAGCGAACAAAGCAACGATAAAGCATTCAAATTCTGTTGCTAGTCCCTTAGCACGCAGCATGGGCGCCATTCTTTTAACGCCATGCTAACATGCTAACCCGGCTAGCATTTACACAAACGGCCAACTGAAAAATATTCCATTAGCAGCACGAAGGACGACCGACAACGCCACACAGACCCTTAGCGCGCACATTTATACTTAGCGGCCGGTTAAAACATACGTCATAGATTTCTGTGAACACCTCAAACGTGGAGAGGCCCGCTAGGGAACGAGAAGGCAGACTTACCAGTGGTGCTGCGAAGCAAGGAAAGAGTAAATGGCTGCGTACGCGGGAGATTCAGCGTGGACTATGAGTCAGTTTCCGCCCTTATCACGTGACCAACCAGCGGCAAAACTCCCTCCAAAGGCAGCAACGACGGTTGTTGTGACGTCATTGTCCTTTCGTCCACTTCGTTTATGACTTGAAAATTGAGTAGACGCCATTGCATGTGACGCTTGGACGTATTTTGGGGGGGCGTAATGTTTAGGGAAGTTAAAAAAAAAACAGGGCAACGTTGGTAGGGCCCTTCAGAATATTTCAAATCGCACGCACGCACGCACGCGCGCACACACACACACACACACACACACACACACACACACACACACAATCATAGCTCTATATTTATATCTTTATCTATTTATTATATCTAGTTATCTATAGCGTGTGCGTGTGTGTGTGTGTGTGTGTGTGTGTGTGTGTGGGCAATGTGGAAAATGGCTCCCAAGATTTCATGATAATTTTATGAATCTTACTGGTTTGAATTGTTCAAGAACTATGGAAGGAGAAGCAAGGCGAAAAAGTCTCGGAAATAATAATTCCAGTGCAGAGTTAACATGTGGCAATACTCTTAACCATTCACACATCACAGAAGCAAAATATCCTTCCAAAGACAAACTTTTTTTGCCGTTTCATGTGATGTTACATGCTCTTTTGGGGGCCATTAAAAAAGAATGAATTGTGAATGAATGAATTGTCACCACAAATTTATCTTTATCCATCCATTATATGTAGTGTACTGTACATCTTATCCTCAGTAGGGTAGTACTTGTTTAAAAATGTAACCCTATAAAACTATAAGATATCACTTTTTCAAAATGTGTAATTTTTTTCCACCATCAACCTCTCCTGAACCTCTAAAACAATCATATAGCCTTAATTTAACAGTATTTCAAAATTAATTAATATGATCCATTTGCAGTCACTGTCCATAAAGCATAATATGAATAAATATTTTTCTTTTTAATTACCGTAAGCCAACTGCAGATCACTAATAACCAAACAGTAAAATAAATACTGCAGTCAAATTTTGAAAACCTACTTTATTTCAATATTTTCATGGCATCGGGAAAAATACAAACATAATGCTTCTCCAAGTCGTGGCTGTAAAACAAACAAAATAAAAGTTATTTATTTTTGTAGCTGGAAACATGTGCAGATACTAAAGGCTATAGCTGGACTTAGGTGAAAATGTTTGTGATGCAACAGTCGCTGATGCACTGCAGGATAAATGATATTTTCATGGTGGACACACACAGACAGCTTGGCCAGGCAGCTACACCCTAGCAGTCTATCTGTACAGGTAGTCAGCTTGGATATTGGCTGCAATCTCAGCCTCCCATTTGTCTCCATTGTTAAGCAGCTTCTCCTTGTTGTACAACAGCTCCTCGTGTGTTTCTGTTGAAAACTCAAAATTCGGACCCTTGGGGAAAAACAGAACAGCTGTAAGTCTTCAACTGCTTTCCACGTATGGACTAGAGGATTTAGCACGCCTATTAATATGCTAAGGCCAAACAAAAAAGATAGTGTGTTTCCGGTAACATGAAATTTCAGCATAGGGTCGGTAGGTCGGACAAAGTTTTTTTTTGAATCTTTTTTTTTTTTTTTTTTTCTGACCACTTTGCACTTTGTCATTCTTCGCAGAGGAAAAAGAATCCACGCCAAACTGACGTACGTACGAGACTTCGACTCAAGTACAGGCTGTGAGTACTTTCAACTTTTCAGTTTCTTACCGACAACGCACACAGACACGGACTCGTTTCTGCTTTTTCCACCCGCCTCAACGTATAGTTTGTATTCTCCTGATTTGATTCCACCGCACAGGTTCACCGCCCTGACAGAACACAAAAAAATATGAGTCGATGCTCTCCAGTAGATTTCGGTGGCAATGCGCACATTACCGCCTCCGCCGCCGTCCTCCTCCGCCCTCGGTTTTTACTAGGCCCGTGGTGTTCATCAAATAGTTCGCTGAATTTTTTCGATACATCAATGGATGCTATTTTCTTAACATTACGGTGCGAGCATGCGACTGTAACACAGAAAACGCGGTTTAAACTGTCGTCGGAGATCGCGGCCGCCGCCACGTTTCAATGTTGTTGACAGACGACAGGGCAAACGACGCTCGCGTTCAACGTGAATATCGCGAGAGTTTGCACCGATGTAAACCCTCTACACAAAAATGTAGAGAGTTGTTTGAAAAAAATGCCGACCGTAAAGTTTTTTTTTTCGACGTAGAAATTCTCGGTCGGTCGGGTTACCGGAAACACACTACTTTTTTTTCTACGCCTAATGTCATTGCCCGCGTTTACATAATTTCCTTGTCTAATAATAGCCAATTTTCACTATCGACCGATACAACCCCCCACTCATTTGAGATCAAATTCAAGGGCAACATTAAATTCTCCCTGAGAAAATACAACTCTCATTTTTGATTAACAAAGTCAAAGACATTCAGGATTAACGGCAGCAGTTCAGCTCCACATTGCCTCACACTGCTGTTTCTAACACCGATGGACCAAATATCTAAAACACCTTACAATATGACTGCCACAACAACTAGAAATGAATAGTCATAATCGACCACCCTGTATTCCCTACCCAAACTGAGCATCTCTTATTTTTACAGTTTGACTCGACTTTGAGACTCAAACTTGCTCAATTTTGCAAATGTACCTCATCATATTTCATATAAGCCATAAAGTTCCCACCTCAACAATGGCATCCACAGGGCAGGCTTCCTGGCAGAAACCACAGTAGATGCACTTGGTCATATCAATGTCGTAGCGTGTGGTCCTTCTGCTGCCGTCAGCTCGAGTCTCGGCCTCAATGGTGATGGCCTTTTTAGAAAAGGAAAAAAAAAATGTTGATGTCATTCATGAATTTCTGAATTCAAATTATAAGGAAACTCTACAGATACAAAACTGTGCATGATCATGTTTACCTGAGCGGGGCAGATGGCCTCGCAGAGCTTGCAAGCAATGCAGCGCTCCTCCCCGCTGGGGTAGCGACGGAGGGCGTGCTCCCCACGGAAGCGAGGGGAGAGCGGACCTTTCTCAAAGGGATAGTTAATGGTCGCTGGTTCACGGAAGAGGTAACTCATGGTCATACCCAATCCTGAGGGAACAAGGGGCACCCAGCAACATAACAGTCAGGGTATTATACCATCAAGAGTGGAGTCCTTCAGAATTTGCAAAGAAATGCTGTCTCTGAGCCCAAATAGTTTGAATTAAATAGGCCATGTTATGTAAAAGTTACTTTTCAATCGCTTGTAGACAAATAGCTGGGTCTCTGCAGTGCCTGTCCACCCAGCAAGTGAACAACCAGGTAAATATTTTGTTAGCTTGTTCATGGACAACACAAAACATCCACTGCACAGCACCATCTCCAAAAGAGCAGCTTCAGCAACATCCTGCTATCGCTGCCCTGCTCCACAGACAGACTGAGGAAAAACTTCCTCTCCCATTTTTAATCCTACCCAGGGAGGAAACACTAAATTGATTATTTTATTGTCTCAACTCTGGATGGTCAACATCGATCTTTCTAAATATAATTCAAAAGGTTTATTTTATTTTATTTTTTTAATGGGGGGAATCATGTTAGCATATTGGGATATGAAACCTCTGAAGAGTTCAGTCCATAGTAGAGTCGTTGCAGCACGGTCAGTGATGGACTTGAGGTCTGTCGGCTGCTCCACAGCATTAACATACTCTGTAATTAGTGAAAGGCATTTAAAACATGGCGTGAATGCAAATGCAATATTGTACATGAATCGGTTAGCTGGTTGAAGGACTCACTGAAGCCACTGCGTTGCAGGCCGACGCTGAAGGGACGTACACTGGTGCATCCCAACGTGCCTCAAACACACAAAAAAATGGTTTCTGAGTCAAATTAATTACGGTACGTCTTTATTTGTACTTAAGAATGTAACAGTTGAATAGGCAGTACCTGTCTTGGAGTAGCAATAGAGAAGACGTAGCCCCAGGGAAGCAGACATCTGAAAAGCAGTTTTAAATAAGACCTTGGCTGCGTTTGGAATCATTCAGTCACTCCCTACTCATTATATTGGGATTTATATACAGTACATACTTCACTCATTAGCCAAGCAAATAAATGATTTTGGAACACTACTCGGGTGCACTATTAATTACAACAATTCAGTAATACAATTAGAATGTTCTCAGATCATCATCCTCAACAACAACATTATCATCTGAGTGTAATTTACACATTTTAAATACTTATATCGATGGCACACCACAACTGATGATTTTCCCCCAAATCCAGTAATACCCCAGAAATGGAATATGGGATATTGTATATTGCTTTTCTTGAGAACGGGGAAAACCTGTAGCTTGCAGTTTGCATTTGCAATATTTTTGTGCCGTCAGTCGTGGAACTTTCCTGACACAACTTGTAGTGTTGTGGCAGCGCCACCTGAAGGCAATCCCTGATTCTACGCCAAAATGGTGCCGCATTTAGGTACATCGGAATAATGGTGGTAAAACGTGTTGGAAGCATTCACGTGTTATTTTTAGAGCCTCGGCCACAACATTGGACTAATCACTGTGCCCAGTCTTCAACTCGCTAAATGTGCCCCACCATGGCAAAGCTAAAGCCGCCGAGGTATGATCTAAAATGTCGTATCAGTTCAATTATATGAACGCACTTGCAAGTTAAGTAATCGTGCGCACATTGAGCTCATTCTAGTTGAACAAAAATAATAATTAGGGCACATTTCAGAAAAAGGAGAGTGATTTACTAGTACGATTGCGCTTCTGACGTTTGATTAACACTTGCAGACATCATTCGCCTATTTATCTGTCAGGCTAACATAACAGCTAATTTAGCAAACTAGAGGACAAGCTCAAAAAGCACTGGACGTCTCATTTGTTCTTGTAGCTCAAAAGAGTGGTCATTAGTCCCTCGACAGCTGATGAGTTTCTCTGAATGAACAAGCACTAACTCATATGTTGCGTATGTTGACCTTTGAAGAAGCTTACCTCTGCTGTCTGTTGAGCTCCTACCGGAAGACAACGTTAACTGTCATGCGCACTGCAGGCTAAGATGCATTTCATGGCCCTCGGTAATTTGTGCTTTATTTGAGACTCGCAAGACCCATTTTCTCAACCGCTTCATCCTCACGAGGGTCACGGACGTCCTCGAGCACATCCCATCTGTCTTCAGGCAGCAGGCCGGTACACTCTGAAGTGGTTGTCAGTCAATCACAGGAATACATAAAGAACAATTAGCGCTCACAGTCACAACTCGGGACAATTTACAGTGTTCAATTAACCTGCGGTACATGTTTTTGGAATCTGGGAGAAAACCGGAGTACCCAGAGAAAACCCAGGTAGGCATGGGGAGAATATGCAAACTCCACACAGGGGCCATGATCCCATGACTTCTGCACTGTGAATCGGACGTGGTAACCAGTCAACCACCGTGCTGCCTGGGACTAGCACTAATAAAGAAATATATGAATCACACTTTCTTAAGGAATCCTGGTCCAGGTTGGATTCTTCCTCAGAGGTAATTATCGTATGCAAAATTAGCATTATCTAAAAGGGGAAGGGGGGGGGGGCATTGTTACTCACACTGATGTCATGATGAATGTGTCATCTTCCAGCAATAAATATGCCTCAGCCAAGTTTATTTTCCATAAAAGCCTACGTGGTTTAGTTACAGAGAAGTAGATTTGAGACAACACCATGAGTCAGTAACAGTGGGAGATGGCAGCAGAGAGAAGAGGAAGTTGTTCATTTTCCACCACCACAGAAACACACACATGTTCAGTTCGGTGGCGGTGATGAAACAGGACGGACATGCGAGAAGGTAATTCCATTTAAATGTATGTCAAACAAACCTTTTCAACCAGATGTTGTTTAGTTAGAAGGTGAGAAGTAATCTAACGTTACATGTGTAAAGTTGAACCTTTATTTTTATTTTATTTTGTTTTAATGCAGCTGAAATCAGTTTTATCATCTCTCATCTCACCTTCCATTAAATGCTGAGGACATCAAGTTGTGCAGATCCAAAGATGTCCAATGATGAGGACACTTTTGGATCTAATGCTGGGTCAGAGGTCAGTCCTGAACTTCAGACAGACCGCTTTGGCTTCATAGTGTCAAATGGATCTGAAACCCGGTAAGCAGTTCCCCCTTTGTGATTGTGGGTAGCTTCACCTCTGATTCACCGTTCATTAGATATTGATTGATAGCTATGATTTTCATTGTGAAACATTGAAATTGAGGGTAGCACAGTGATCTAGTGGTGAACACGTCTCCCTCACAGTGGAGAGGTTTGAGGTGAAACTCTTACCTGTATCTTCTCCATGTGTTTGTGTGTTTCTTTGGCTTTCGTCCACAATCCAAAAACATGTATGTTCAGTCCACTGAAGACCCTAAATTGTCCTTAGGTGTGAATATAAGTGTGAATGGTTGTTTGCCTCGATCAGGGATGGGCAACTTAAATCCTGGTGGGGGCCACAATTTTTTTTATCAGTGGAAGGGGAGGGGGGGCACATAGGACCACGTACTTCCGAAACAGATGTATGAAAAAAATACCACTCTAAATACGGACAAAGTACGTTAAAATATGTGTTCTTAATAACATTTACTTTTTCCCCAATACATTTCTCAATGTATGTATAAAAGATTTACTGTTAAACAACAAAGGGTTTAAAGCAAACAACGAAGTGACCACACACTGTTTTTTTTCTCTACTGCAAAAGATTTTCTTGCAAAAAAATTACCTTTGAGGACGGCACAAAAAACTGATGAAAAAGAAACCAATGTTAAATGCAAATTTTCATTTTGTGCATTTTTAACAAAAAAAAAAAAACCTCACTCAAAATATTAATATGAGGTATTATGTTTATCCTGTATGTCAAATCTGCCAAAAATGATTAGGCCTACTCACTTCGTCATGTCAGAGAGTACCGATATAAATAAGACCTGTGCAAGTGCAACCAATCTATGTTTACCATCTAGTGGTCGATAGTGATATTACAATTCAAGACTATATGGTAGAACCCCTGGATTCACGGGGAGTAGCGATCAGGTCAGGGTGTAATTTACTCCCATTTTTATTGCATTGAAAAAAAAAATACAAAACTGCATATAAATTTAAAAAATATCTATCTATCTATCGATCTATCTCATATATATATATATATATATATAAAAAAAACCCCAAAACAAACAAACAAACAAAAACAGCGAATAAGTGAATTTGCCAGTGCTGAACCGCAAGTATTTGGGGGCCAACTGTAATAGAGGAAACATGATTACACCCCTTTCCCCTCTTGCCCCGCACATACATTTTCTTGGGGGTATTGAAAATTAATCAAAAGGCACAAAGTCAGCGGGATGTGGCTACAGTTCACCCTTGACCTGACAAGCATTTTTTTAGGTTGGTGGATTGACTTTGAAATTCACATTGTCCTCTTACCATCATTTTTACTTTACATTTTAATTAGCTCCATTCACCAACTGCTATTGACCACAAAAGGCAACTAAAACTGTTTAGCAATACAATATGCATTTCATGGAAGTGAGCAACAAAATTAAAGGTCAACCACTAGATGTGGAACCGAAGTTGAACTTGAATGCAGTCTATATACTAGAAATATTTTGTATTTGTTTTCATACTCCTCACTGACGACACCCTAACCTGTTACCATGGAGCCAAAACACTGCTGCCGTGTGGTTTTCCTGTTTCCTGTCCTGCTTTTGGAGCGCTCAATACTGAAAGCGTAGATAGCGCACGAGTCCTGCATGCAGCAACTCTGCACAACTGTTTAATTACCAACATTGTGTACCATGCTTCCTTCGTTTAATACCGTGATTCTCAACTCGTGTGACTTGGACACTAATGGGCCATAAGAGATCATAAGGTACAGCGGCAAATTGTCCAATCTCACTTAATTGGTCAGAAAGTTAGTTATTTCATGCAAATATTGAACCCTTGTTCATTTATCCATGCCAGTGATGTATAGTGACAGGCAGACCGATTAAATCTCTTTTACCAGATGGCAATTATCCTGCAGCATATCCACTTTTTGTGACTTTTTCTTTTTGTTTTTGTTTTTTTTTTTTTGTGACATACCATGAGATTTTTTTCTCATATGAAATACATGCCTTGGCTCAGTAAAGGTTGGGAATCACTGCTTTAATGGGATGGCATTAGCTATATTCAACTGTAGAATCATCTAAATGTTTTTTTATGATAATAAAAATTATTGCAATCACAGCTTATATAAGAAGGCGCTAAGTGCCATAACAACAGAAAAAAATTTAAATCAACCATTCATGGTCGTGGTAAAAATTGGGGTCTTTATGAGAAGGCGCTAAGTGCCATAACAACAGAAAATAATTAAATCAACCATTCATGGTTGTGGTAAAAATTGGGGTCTTCCACATTGTGTTCCTTCTCCTAGGCTGGTGTCATCGAGGGCTAGCACAACAGCGGTGTAGTGACATAGGTCAATATTAAGTCAACATATCAAGGTATAGACTGTCGTGCATTGTCCACAAAACAGTGGAATCAATAGACAGTGGAATATCAGTTTAAGAATGACCTGTTTTATGAGTATTTTCTTGAAAAGAAAAATTATCTCTGGTTTGGTACACACTATTTTCGGTTTACAAACAGTCTTCAGCATGGCCTTGGAATGCTCAGAACTTTGTGCTTTTTTTGCGCCTCATACACAATATTGGCTCCATCCTTCAAGTGTTGTATTTTTATTTTTTTTTGTCTAAATTGGCCACCACATCCCACAATGCAACACAATGCAAAAGCTGCACTGCATTGTGGGATGTGGTGGCCATTTAGCGCTCATAGTAACAACAATTAATTTAAACATTACTGGATCCTAAAAGTCCAAAGATGCCAGAATGTGTCATTTTTCTGTAATTTTTGGTGATTATGTGTTGATTGTTAACAAGTTGGCATTTTATGCTATTGCAGAGGGAAATGAAATTTCCACTTACTTGTTTTTCATCAGGATGGTGGGCCCACATCCTCAACTCGTGAGGCAGAGGGAAGCCAAGTGGATCAACATCATGGACCAATGGCAGACCATCTTCTTAAAGAAGACTAACATGGTGTGTTGGTGTGATGAAAATCTCCAAATCATCAGGATGAAGCAGTCAAGCTTATCTTTGCTCTTGTAGAAAGTTAAAATGTCAACAATACTGTGTCCGTCAAAGATTATTGTCTATCGAAACATGTACAACCTTTCTGCAGGTCAAAGTGCAGTGTCAAAAAGGCATCCCGAGTTCTCTCCGAGCCAGGTGTTGGCCTCTGCTGTGTGGTGCCACCAATAGGATGAACCACAACAAACAACTTTTCCAGGTATTAAAAAAAAAAAAAAACATGTCCACCTAATTTAAACAGACAAAAGTTTGTGCAACATGCAGCAATGAACAATTTTCATGGCAAATCCTAAAAACGATGTTGAAACTTAGCCATGTTACCATGCTCCATCCACATTAGCTTGGCGATGGCGTGTCGCCCATTTATCGGGCATACCTGCCTCTGACTGGGGCTCAATTTCCCCTGGAAGGGTTTGTCAAGCTTCGAAACCTGCATGGTTCCACCCAAAATTGCTGCTCCAGGCCAAGATGGGAGACTTACTGATCAATTTCAGGCATGGGTCCTTGAGACCTGTTATGAGAGACATTTTCATTTCTAATTTCCTGGGGGAGATGGCTGTGTGAGTTTTGGGCTCATGTTTGGGACCCCTATAATGCTTCCCATGGGGGTTGAACCCATTCGTGAAGGAGTCGACTTTACGACTCCCTATTGTCGTTAAAAGCTTGAAATCGCTGAATTGCTAATCACGTTTCTTGGCATCTTTGTCAATTGGTTAATTTACAAATGACTTTTGACTCGCTTTTTAAAAAAATTCTCTCAAAATATGTCTTTACATGAAATGTGACTAGCACAAAAATTTGGGGGGAGCACTTTATTGTGCTGAAAAATTGTCAATGACATCACTGCTTAACCAACTTTTGACTCAGCATTCAACAGATTATACTCGATCCCCCCAAAATCTTTAGTCGTTTAACCCTTAGCTCACCATATGCCACGCTTGGGGAAACATTAAACCTGGTGCTTGGCCCCGCGAACATGTATTAGATCTAAAAACCCACTTAAATTCCCTTAACATTGCAAGTCACATACTGTACTTAATCACTCATTAATTTATCTTTTAGTTGATCGTGCTATTATTCAGTTGATTTTACTTGGCTTTTTTTGTTTTTGGTCAGTCTCTGGATTCACAGTCTGCGCTGCAGAAGTGGGTGGACATTATCGACAAGGATTTGGACCGACAGTTTCCTTTCCACGAGATGTTCCTCTCCAAGGATGGACATGGGTATGGAGAAAAGATATGAATGCATGAAGGCTGTCAAAGGCAATTTTATTAGACCGTAATCATGTCTGATGTGTGTTTAGGCAGCAAGGTCTGTTCCGGGTGCTCAAGGCATACACTCAGTACCAACCAGAGGAAGGCTACTGTCAGGCGCAAGGGCCAGTGGCTGCTGTTCTCCTGATGAACATGCCTGCAGAAGTAGTCGCAATTATGATTGTCTAATTTACACAAAAATGGTCAAATGTATTTTTGATGTCATCTGATGGAAGCTAACCTTGGCAGGAGGCCTTTTGGTGTCTGGTCCAGATTAGCGAGTACTACCTACCTGGCTACTACAGTCCTCTATTGGTGAGTGTGCTCTGTTTAGCAGTCTTTCCCGATCTGTTGTGAGCTAAAACACATACTGCTGAAATCATGGTGATGTGTGGTGGTGGTGGAAGTGTATCTAAGTGTTCGGCCTCTGACTATATGTTGCTGGAAAAGATACAGGAGCAAATATACATTATTTGTAGTATATAAATAATACTTGTCAGACCAATTTGGACATTTGATATGAACTGCAAGTGTGATGCAGGAGGGAGTCTTATTCGACGCGAGCGTGCTGACCTGGGTGTTGAAAAAGACGTGTCCATCTGCGTACAAACACCTGCAGCGCCATGCAGTGGAGCCCCTCATGTTCGCCACCGATTGGTTGATGTGTTTGTTCACGCGACACCTGCCCTTCAACGCTCTCCTCCGAGTGTGGGACTTGTTTTTCTGCAATGGTAAGTCCCTGTCTCACACTGACAAAAACAAAAAAAGGTGAACACCAAAACACTCGATGGATTTTTTTATTGACTTTTATACAAGCAATTGGGTCTCTGGAAAAATTTTTAATCCAGTGAACCCCTCCCGTTGGCCAAAAAGGTTTATAATTGACTATAGATGCCACAAGCCGGCGGTAAAGTACAACTCACTTCAACATAGTTCCATGGCACCAGGATGCCACAAGCAACACTCTTTTTGCTTTGTCCTTTAGAGAAAGCTTAATTCTTGATGTTTGAGTTGTTTTATCAAAATAATGTCAAAGACATGTTTTTGAAATGTTATCTCTTTAACAATGTGAAATAAATGCATAATCTTATTTGTGTTATGACTAGATTTTCTTCTAAAATAAGACACTTAAGATGACTTTCTGTGGCCACCCATCACACCCACAAGGGGTGAGAGTGCTACTGCAGGTGGCGGTGGTGCTGGTGCGTCGAGTGTTGGGTCGGGCAGAGCAGAGGAAGCAGTGTCAGGGCCAGATGGAGACTCTGCAGAGGCTGAGGGATGTCAGGTGTGAGGTCCAAAAAGAGGACGACACCTTCATAGCAGAGGTATGGCCAATACACGGTCATTCCTCGAAAGTCACAGTGTCCCATCGTTGGTGAGTGATTTTTAGATGAGGCCCGTGGGCTACTCATATGGTCCTTGAGGGCTCCCTGGTGCCCTCGGGCACGACGTTGGTGTAAATTAATATCTCTCTGGCTGTGTTTGTCAAAACTAAATCTGACTCTTCATCTCATTAGCGTGCCGCTAAAGAGAGGAGTTAATGTGATGTACAATTGAACTAGCCATCAACAAACATTTTTACCCTTACAAATGAGATATAAATATGTTTATATTGCAGGTGTGTGCTGTGCCACTTACCTCCAGTGATCTGGAGAAACATACAGAGAAGGAGCTGGTAAAGTGGAGAAAAGACAGACCCTCGTCCACCTTTGATCCACGACGTCGCTGCCATGGATACCGCGTGGCATGGGAGAGGGTTCAACTCAACCGGGCGGAGCTGGACAGGGAAGAGAGAGTGACGGGAAACTTGTCTGTGCCTCTAGCCCGCTCGGCATCTTGCCTGTCGCTGTCGCCTTCGCTGCTTCACAAGAGGTGGAGGAGAGGGGAGAACGACAGAGTACAGAAAGCCGTAGGTGGAGTTTCAAGGCATCGCTCACTGGGAGCAAATGATTGCAGAAGATGCAATGAGGTGAATTTGCACATGACAGCGGAGGACAAAGGTGTCAAAAAACTAAAAGAAGACTCAGATGCAAAGAAGCAGACTGTAAAGATGACAGGTGCAATGAGAGAAATGTCCCACGGTACAGTTGCTCAAAATATTCCTTTGGCTGCTGAGCACGCCTCTCACCAAGTCCCGGAAGATGAGCTTTTAAATGACCACATAGACGAGTGTGAAGACTCGATAGATAAGACACAAAGTCAGATGGAGTCGGAACCTCCAGAAGAGGTAACTTTAAACATAAATGCCACAAAGCCAGAGTCAGAAGTGAAAAGCATTACTAAGATAGACACAGTTGATGAAATTGCAACGTCTAAGCTCCAAACAAGGCCTGAATTGGATCAGGACAAGTCTATTGAAGCTGTCAACAGGCAGCTGAATGTTGTTACGGTGACTGACAGGAGCTTGTCCCAGGGAAGCGCTTCTCTTTGCTGTCAGACAGAAAGTAACAACACAACTGAACAAAAACAAGCACGTAGGAAAATAATTCCCAGCCTGAAACAAGCCTCTGTGAATGTGACTCCCCACTTGTCTGGTGACATTTGCATCCGTAAGTCCTCCACCCCCCGCGGCTCAAAGTTAACGCGACACCTGTCGGAAGAGCTCTTCACCGACCCCGGTCAAAGCATTAGAGATGCCGAACCTCCAAAGCAGACCGATCATCAGACCGAACCTCTCGAGCCTGCTAAACATTTCAGTCTTTTCAGCAGGCAGCCGAAAAAGTACACAGAGAGGGGCACGGCCAAAATCCAAGTGCCCACTATCTTGATCCAGGATTTTAGTGATGGGATGGAAAAACTGGTTGTGAAGGAGGAGGAGGAAGCGAACTCCAGGGAGAGGAGGTGGTGGCGGCGGTGTGAGCGAGAACGGAGGGAGGAAAAGGAAGGAAAGTTGAGGAAGAAGAAAGAGATAGAGGTAAAGAAGGAAAAGGAAAGAGAGAGGAGGAAACCCCAAACGAGAGGAAAAAGTTTCCAGGTGCAAAGAGACACAATTAAATGTTCTCCTTCTTATGCTGAAGCTTACTTTTAATACTGTACATCCTCTCTTTGCTTTATGTTCCATTGGTGTTGATGCATTCAAATGCTCTGAGTCATCTACTGTAAATAAACAGAACCATGTTTTCTACATTTTGTTTGGTTTATTCAGGGGAAAAAATATGCTTCTTGTATACAAAACAAACGGCAAGTGCTTCATGCTTCAACATGATTACCAAAGTTCACAATGTAACCCAATAATAATATTAATGATAAAAAAATAAGTTGATATTTTACACTGGCAGGTGCTGTCCTCTGCATTATCTTCTCAGAGAAAAGAGAAGAAAATCTCAGTCCATCACTCAAGAAGGGCAAAATGAACATGTCTTTTTTTCCACCATTGGTCAGTCAGTCTATTTGTGTGTCGTCATCACTGTCACTGGCCAGCACTTCCTGGTTGCTCACTGGCTGAGTGCTCATCTGAGACGACAGCGGAAGCACCGATCCAAACAACAAGGAGCAGAACTGTGACAGTACACAACAGGAAAAGAGCCACTGTCAGTATTTCAGTCGACTTTGTTGGAGATAAATGTAATTTTCGAACTATTCAATGTTATTTTTCAACTTAAAGTGGTTCCTTGAGATATAGCAAATAATTCTTAAAAAAAGAGGCTGTTTAATGCCACACCCCGTTGATGTTTACTGTCAAAGTAAACATAAAACCACAAGTTACACGTTGTTTATGTAAAACAAAAACAAACCTTCCCTTTGGAAAGTCTGCTAATGCTAACAAACATTCCAAATCGTATACAGGCTAAGTAACAGCATCTGTGTGGTGTGGTTATAATATAACTGAAGACGTAGAATAAATTAAACTCGTATCTCAAGGCAGCATTTGTTTTTATGGAAAGGGGAAAAAAATGAACCTTCTTATTTGGTGGCCCATCTTTTTCTGCAGTTTCCGCTTCCTCCTCTTCTTCACTGTGCAGCCTCGTCCTGTGATTCGCCACCACCTGCTGCTTTGAACTTGTGGAATCCGTTGTGGATGGACCCGGCGCAATACTGGTATCCATGGCGATGAGGTAAGAGTCCATGTCGTCATTCATGAAGTCGTCGGGAGGCCGTGCTGGGGGCGTGTCCCCTCTGGAGGAGCAACATTTGGAAAGTTGATAAAAATGAGGACATTTGAAAAATGGTTTTGATTGGCAATATTGAGAGTGGTATAGAGAGTGATCCAAAAGACCCAAAAATAAGAAAGAAACAAATAAACATTTATAATTTCTTTCGTTTCTTTTTAAACCATGAATATGTGAATCCACAGGTGATGATCTACAAGTCTGCAGAGGACAAGTATCCTGGAGTTATCAGGAGACCAGAGGTGTGACAGGGAAAGCACAGGATGCGAATAAATGCAGCATGTGAGCAAAAAATTTCAGAGGCATCTAACGAAGACTGATAATACTATATAAAAGTCAACAATATATTTATAGTGCCATTTCAGTCAATTTTTGTACACAGTTCACAAACACAGGAAGAATGTGTGCAAACTATTCAATGTTATTTTTCAACTTAAAGTGGTTCCTTGAGATATAGCAAATAATTCTTAAAAAAAGAGGCTGTTTAATGCCACACCCCGTTGATGTTTACTGTCAAAGTAAACATAAAACCACAAGTTACACGTTGTTTATGTAAAACAAAAACAAACCTTCCCTTTGGAAAGTCTGCTAATGCTAACAAACATTCCAAATCGTATACAGGCTAAGTAACAGCATCTGTGTGGTGTGGTTATAATATAACTGAAGACGTAGAATAAATTAAACTCGTATCTCAAGGCAGCATTTGTTTTTATGGAAAGGGGAAAAAAATGAACCTTCTTATTTGGTGGCCCATCTTTTTCTGCAGTTTCCGCTTCCTCCTCTTCTTCACTGTGCAGCCTCGTCCTGTGATTCGCCACCACCTGCTGCTTTGAACTTGTGGAATCCGTTGTGGATGGACCCGGCGCAATACTGGTATCCATGGCGATGAGGTAAGAGTCCATGTCGTCATTCATGAAGTCGTCGGGAGGCCGTGCTGGGGGCGTGTCCCCTCTGGAGGAGCAACATTTGGAAAGTTGATAAAAATGAGGACATTTGAAAAATGGTTTTGATTGGCAATATTGAGAGTGGTATAGAGAGTGATCCAAAAGACCCAAAAATAAGAAAGAAACAAATAAACATTTATAATTTCTTTCGTTTCTTTTTAAACCATGAATATGTGAATCCACAGGTGATGATCTACAAGTCTGCAGAGGACAAGTATCCTGGAGTTATCAGGAGACCAGAGGTGTGACAGGGAAAGCACAGGATGCGAATAAATGCAGCATGTGAGCAAAAAATTTCAGAGGCATCTAACGAAGACTGATAATACTATATAAAAGTCAACAATATATTTATAGTGCCATTTCAGTCAATTTTTGTACACAGTTCACAAACACAGGAAGAATGTGTGCAGCATTAAAAAAAAAAAAAAAAAAAAAAAAAAGAAGAAGAAGGTGTAAACTTTACAGTGCATGCAAAACTGTATGCAAAAAGGGCCACTGTGTTGTCACAAACTATTACAGAGAAGCATTTCCCTTTGAGGAGTTATTATCCATCCATTATACGAACCGCTTATAATGTATTGAAAATTGAATTAACAGCTGTAATTGCCAGCTACCGGTACTGGGCGGGTGGAAGCATCAAAGAATGACCGCGGCTTTTGTGGCAAATCAGTCTTTTACTGTGTTGTGACTCAGCGCATGAAGGCTAATGACATGACTTTGGATCGCTACGTGCGACACACTGTTTGCTCTGAAATGCTTTACGTATATGACTTATTCAAGTAGTGGTCTTGAAAATATCTGGGACAGGATTCATTCATTTGCCTTAGAGGTGTCTCTTGGCTCTATCTAATTTCTAATCACGCGCTTGTGCTCATGCTAGTTCCGGGCCAGTGCCCAGGTTAGCACCGGTTCTTTCTTTTTCCACCACCGAAATTGGCTCTAGCTCTAGTGCTTCAAACTGGTGCTTAAGCTGGCCCCAATTATTTGTTGGGACAGACTCTGGCACCAACTACGTCAGGTTGGGTTATCATGACGATGTAGAGGAATGACTCCCCGGACACACGGAAGATTTGCACAAACTGTTGAGTGGTGAATTGTGTCCCACCAGAAGAACAACCGCGGATGTGCCCAGATAACATGCGATCTCCGTTTTCGCAGCCAGCCTTGTGATCATCTACAATGACTAAGAAAGATAAAAGCGTTTGCATGTCCCTGACTGTTATATACTACATACAAGTATAATCGATGCTATGCTAAGTTGCCTAGCAGATGCCTACAGCACATTATTATTATCATTAGTAATAGCGCAGGAACTATTGGGTAAACATCGACGTAAGCAGTGACGTTTGGATGCTTTACAATGATGTAATGACGTAGCTCCTACTTGGCTCTTTGCCGGTGGAAAACCAAACACGTTCTACATAAGAACATGTTCAGCACCAACTAAGCACAGCACTGGCCCTGGCACCGAATGAGCACCAAGTTTTTGGGGGTGGAAAAGAGGTGTGACAAGCTCGTTAGTAGAAGCACAGCACTTCCTGCTGTTAGGCAGGACCAAACAATTTGTTACCAACAGTGATGAAGACTTACTTTTTTGAGAAACCTTCACATTCTTTTTTCTCTCTTTCCTCTTTTCAATCGATATGACCATTTTGACTTTTGCAATCAGGCATAAACCAGGCCTACTACCCAAAGTTAGAGCTGCCAACCTAGAGCAGTCTTGGCCTCGGGCCCCCAAATGAGTAGCTATGGCCCTGAACTGAGCCAGTGAGATTGCCAGCTGTTCTGACAGCCCAAGTGTGGGGCTTGTGCATTGATGAAAAAGGCAGCAGTAATTAATGTGAGTTACGAGACGCACTGGCCATCGATCTGCTGACAACACAAAGACTGGCTGCCCCAGATTCGGAGCTTGTCTGCCCCAATTCATTATGAAGGAATTGAGGGCTGCTCTGCTCCCTGCAGCTAGGAATGCTCTCCTCGAGAGTCCCCATTCAGTGCTGATTTCAAGCATTTTACGAAGCTCAATGAAAAGTACACCCCTCGGTAGCAGTGACAACTCTATGAATAAAAATGAACTGTGAGAGAACGCCGTTCATAAGAACGCTCCGTCTACCATTGGCGTGTTACCAAATACATAGCCTGCTGCAATTCTTTACTATTTTTGCTAGCTTTTAACATGTTTGAGCCATTTGAACCATTTTTGGGGGGTGGGGGGGATATCTCTGGAACAAGCAGTGTTACAGCCTAACGAGCTTGCCTTCTTTGATTTCCACAGCAAAATACGATCAGTAATATTTGACAGCTTTGGAAACGAGTTCATTATTTTAAAGAGGAAGGAAGCAGATGTCATCGGATGTCTACAAGAGTGTTGAGAGGGTCTGGCCAATAAATGCTCCTCTAGTTCATCTAATTAATGTTAGCTGGGGCTGTTAGGTCCAGTTCTTCCTCACAAAATCCATCTAATCATGCCTAGAAGGACCTCGCTGTGTGCGCTGGGCCAAGTCATGCTGGAGCAAAAAATAAACAACCCCACATAGTGCCCACAAAGTTGGAAATACACCACACCAAAAAAACAGATTGCCTAAGAACATTTCTACCATGCATGGTTATTGTTTGTTACCTTCTTGTGTCGTTTCTAGTATCATCCGAAAGTGTGGCCAGCACAAAGTCGCCTTCCAAGATGCTGTCTGATACCGAGAGCACAAGAGGGCTGAAAAATACACATGCACAAATAAACACACAGATGCAGGTCAATGAGTGGCTGTGATGTCCATACACTTAACGTTGCTTCTTGAGTGAACATGCATACCTGCCCGGCTCATCAAAGTACATCGAAATAGGGAGACCTGTATTCTCAGCAAAAAATAGCAAACCCTGGAGGAGATACGACAGAAATCAACTCAGCAATCGGGAGTTCTCCTCCAGATGAGCCTCCTTTAAAAAAAAAACTTTTTGTTGTCTTCTCACCCGCAGCTCCTTTAGGCAAAAGGTAATGCTGGTGTGAGCTTGGACAGCAAAATGGTCAAACTCGTCGGAGACCAGAAACAGTTCAGTCAGCATGGCCTTGGACTGCACTGAGATGGGGAAAAAAACATCACATCAAACTGACGTGAACACAGATCCATTTTGGCATACTTTTTTGGACAAGAGCTTCACTTAGAGCAATTATGGCAATCAATAAAACAAGAAAACGGCACTGAGGAATCACCTAATTCCTCATCCACATGATTCCTGAGCCACATTCGTTCATCGCTGACTGAAAGTGTGACTTCCTCCATAGATGGTGGGAAATGTGCCACTGTGTCCACCAGCAACCTCAGAAAGACACGGCATATCAGCAGTTCATGAATTTCATTTTGTGTGCTTTGTTGATTCTTTTAAAAATGTTTATGTACCACGTATAGTTTCTGGACAATTGAAACATGAAAATGCTCCACAGGAAACCCAACAAGTGTTATACAATAGGGATGCCAAAGCTCTACTGTACTCCTAGTCGTAAAAAAGCTCCAAAACCACTACTCTCAATACCAGCCTACCCTTTACGTTAGCATTACTATACTACTATCAAACAGTTCTTTAAAAAGAGTCAATGTGTGCTTACTTCAAGCTGTTAAAAAAACGAACCTAACATTATGAAAATAACACGTTTAAGCAAAAACAAAACTTTGCAAACATCTGCTAGCCTAATGCTATCACACAATGCAAAACACAATAGATGGGCTCACAAATAGCATCAATTTTGCAATATAAACCTTTTAATAACGAATAATCAAACACAAATGGTGCAGCAACATACAGTAGTGTACAGAAAGACGCTACAACAATAAAAGGGTCTATAATTTTCACTTCCCAAGTTATGTTACTCCAGTTTAGTTATGATCAACATCTCTGTAACATTTTATTAAGTGTGTTTTCTGCATGTGTGTACGACACCGCCTCCTTGGAGGCGAAGAAACAACATGCATTATACCCAGTGGTGGGAGTGTTAGTGAACTTTCGTCAATCGCCAGTCATTCAAGCCCGTCATTATTTCAGGGTGGTCCAGTCTGTCATCGTGATTTCTAACGCGCCTCCCTCATCGCTAATTTAAATTTTGTCGTCGCTGTTTTAGGACGGTCAGTAAAAATTGGACAAGGGTAACAGCACAAAATTTTGTTACCTAATTTACAAACAGTTTGGACCATTTTACACACCCAGAAAATTTTCTTAAGGTGTTACCACTCCTCCTCCTGCTTCTCATCCCCAAACTGCCCCTCGTCTTTGCTTTTCCGGTTCATGGGGATCTGGGGGACGGCCGAAAATTGCTTCCGTCAGCACTTATTCCGTCAGTGTTTCAAAGTTACCGCCAGTCGTCAGCCCACCAGTCCATCACTGACGGACACATAACACGTTCGTCGGTACTGACGGACAGATGACAACAGGTGTAAATGCCCACCCATCCATATACCTCAAAGGCAAGTGGAATAGGATTATTCCGTGTGTATGAGAAGTGTTCTTTTTGAGTGAAAGGTATTTCATGTTCAATAAGTCTGTTTAACAATGTTTGTATAATAATGCATAAGTGTGAGTGAAAGCAATGCCGTGTTCAATTAAAGGTTGTGTGTGTGTTTTTTTTAATCTGATGAATATCAAATATATTTTCATCAAAATTGCAAGATGTATCGGTGGGTACTCAAATGTACAGTAAGTTCTTGTAGTCGGTCTAGAAAAGTGATGAAGTGGTATCGATGACAAACCTTGGATTGGCTCGAAATACGTTTTTGCAGCTGTTCTTATCAAACACGGCCTGTAAGGTCTCACTGTCCTGGAAAGACAGGTTATGAGTCCTCAAGAGGCCTGCAGCGAACAAAACAGTGATGGGATGTCAATAAAAAAATACTGTGTCCGTGCGAAATGAGATTCGACATGTTTCGAATCCCTCATGTGACGTAATGTCAGCCGACGTGTCGGAGGAGGTGACGTGGCCATACCATATTTGCAATGCAGCGTGAAGGTGAGGCGATCCTTTTGCTTGTCCAGATGAATGTGACACTTTTCCACCGTCTTCTCCAGAGATGCCAGAGACCTGAACACTGCCTGCACACTCTGGATATTTGCATATGAAAATACACACACATGTACGCACGCACACACGCAAAAGGACATTCGGGTTAAGTAACTGTGGACTGAAACATGACAGGATCGTCATTCAGTCAATTACCTGCTGGTTTAAACACTATCAGAAGCACTGATTTATCTTCACAACACAAATTCAAATTTTTGTTCAATGAAAGATTCGTTTGAATTAATTTCTTCCAACAGTCCATTCTGTTGCACAGCTTCTCCGGTGCCGTAGTTTAGATTTTTGGGCCAATCATATCTCAAACTGAAGTATTTTATGAAACGGAATGAAGGTAAATTAAGTATTTTCCAACTGCCAAAAGAAGGTAGAAGTAGTAGCAGTAGTCATGGTAACTAATATGTGACATATCATTAGTTCAGCATAAGGCTTCCTTACGCAACAAAGAGTAATTACAGCACCAGAAGGCGCAATAACTGACCAGGATTCTATCTTTGGCCACAACATAATGCAGGATTATAGTTGAGGTAAGCCATTTTAAACTAAAGAGAAAACTTTTCCTTGCTTAGAAGCCGAAGTTTTGTCCAACCGGAACGCGTTCACTGCCATCAATATGGGGTGTGTGAGAGTGTGTGTGTTCAGAGAGGCAGAGCGCCCTCCCCTACCATTAATTTCTGAACACAGCTTATGTTATAAGACAATCAGCAGCTCCTGTTTTTATATGCCAACAACAATAATGGCAGGCAGAACAATAAAATGCTCTTCCACTAGATGACAGAAGGTACAGGACTCAATTAACCTGTGTATACACCCTTTTTGTGCATCGCTTTGCTAAGGGGTGTGCAGTGACATTTTTTCTTCTGTTAAACATGTACTTGGGCTCAATAAAGGTTGGGAAACACTGCATTAGGCCACCGTGCTGGGTCCAAATGATAGATACAATTCTCATTTCGCAACACACCTTTATTGACATCCTGCAGCGGAAGGCAATCCCATTGGGAACAATGTACCTGCATAAAACACAGAGAGATGGGAGCTAGGTAAAATATCCCACGCAAATCCGGACATATGCCCACAGTATACGCTGCACACACAGTCAGCACCTGCTGAAGAAGAGAGGCGAAAACAGGAAGCAACCATAAGCCGACCGAGAAGAGTTCACACACCGCAGGGCTAGCTACAACAGTGGGGGGAAACAACAAGAACAAAACAGTACTCATAATAAATAGGCAGTGCTCCTCTTCGGTAAGTGTCATCACTCTGAGAAATTTACCCCAGGACCCTCCTGAGGCTCGATGTACAACTCATCGCCGATTCGGGACAGGGAGTGGATGGCTTTGGCCAAAACTGGACCGTACACAAGGACATAGGATATACTTATAGCTTGCAAAATAACAACAGCAAGACATGAAATGAATGAAAGGAGGTGGGGTGGGACAGAGTCTACCTTTCACGTTTCCACCCGTCACAACGCAGTCCATTTCTGCAGCTGCAGTTAGTACTTTTACTAGCAACTAAACGAGCAGCTATCCGCTGATAAGGAAAAGCGGAGTTTTACATAGCACGAGCGCGTATTCCATATGCCGTAATCACAGTCCGTTTGGGGAAATACTTAGTTTTGTTCATCAAAGAATGACCCGAATGGAAGAATCACCTTGTACATCATTGTTTACGGCGCCACAAATCCTTTCCGCACTGTGGACCAATCGGAACAACAGAATATCGAAGAGAGGCGTGTTTTACTACACGCATGCGCATTTTTTAAAACAAATTAAAATTCGATCAGAATGAGAAATTTCATTTAAAACAGAAACCGGATTATATTTATGAAAAATAAAAACTGGATGACACCAAATGCAATAAATATTATTCGTTTATTTTGGTTTTACATGTAGGCACGAATCGTCAAATTTGTGTAATACACTGAATATTTACTTTCCCCCAAAAATAATCCAAAATTGAAGAGTATGAACGGTTAACGGTTTTAACAAGTGCTAATAATTTTAAGATGTTAAGTGCATCTTCTTGTTTTTTGTTGTGACTGGCAAACACCTGGTAGCAAAATCAATCAGTTAGTAAGGTTTCCATCAGTGCACTCTGAAGAAATAGCCAATACAGGCTGGTTTAACCCTCATAATCAACAATCAAGTCCATCAGGAGGCTATTTATACTATGGTTTCTCAAAACAGCAGTGACTTTAATGCATACTCCAATCTTGGCAATTTGTTAATAAAATAAATAACTCACAAGGCAAATAGGTAGCAGATGCTCCCCCAGATGCTCCCTCAAGTGGAATGAACCATGGTTACAACTATAAAGAAAATAAAGTGAGAGAGCTTGGAAGTTGCAGTCAAGGCACAATCATCTCACCTCACTGGTCTTTCTTGTCAGACGACTTCGGCGTTCCACCAAGCATCAGGAACGTTGTGCACTGTCTCTCCACCCATCACTGCTGACATAAACGACTGCTTGACTGGAGCGGAGCCACTGGACATTATGCAGAAACTCGGACAGTTTGAAGGAGAAGAACGGGCAACAAAGCGAGGAATCTAGAGAAACTGGAGCTTGACTCAGCTGATATTTCTTCAAAAAATGCTGAGAATCAGGAAAAAATATGCACCGGATGAGATCAAGTTTGACAAGAAGCATTCACTTGTGGAAATGTGGACTTAGCCATTCTAGCTGAAGAAATCTTAACATGAGGTGAGAAAAAGGTAAAGAAATCATGCAAACCAACTGGAACATGTCCAAAGTGGATAACAACCCTTCAGCGATCCGTTTTAATCCAATGGACTCTGTTTTCAACCACTTTCCTTAAACAACTGTGTAAATGCCTTTTGTCCGATGTACTCTATCCTAACTCTTGGACTTAAAGTCTTACAATTTTGTAATTAGATGTCTCAGTCGAGCAATCAACCAGACGGTCAGGCGTTACTGCAGTCTATGTTGGAGAGACTGAAACTCCAGCCTGGAAGAGAGAGGCACGCACACGAACATGCGGATGAACCGCTCCCCCCTGTCCCCACATGTGGGGCAGATGGAGTGAAAGAAAGAGAAGATGTTACGAATGGTTATGCGCTTGGTGTTCCTGCAAAAAGATTTGAGGTATCTTCTGTGGATAACAGTTTTAGACCGAAAGATGAAGAGAGACTTCAGCCAGTTCGTGGCTTTGAAAAGTACAGAGGTCACTTTTTCTTCCCGCCCCAGAGAGACAACAGCCCCATGGGGGTAAACATGGTGTCGGGGAATGTCAATTCCCCTCAGATCTCCAATGCTTCAACGGGGCAACACTTTTCGGCAAAAGCTCTTCCTTCCATAGGGAGAACTGATTCTGGGGTCCAACAGGATAACATATTTGGAAATAAAGACCTGGACCATGGCTTTAAACACAATGTCCATGACTGGTCATGGGGAAGCACTGATTTTACAGCGGACAATCAAGGGAATAAAGCGTTTCAGGCTGAAAATGGAGGACTCGGAGATTTGTCTAAATGGAAAGACATGCAAATGATCTCTCGTAAAGGCAGCATGACCAAGAGAAAGCAACGATCAATTGAAAACAAAGGAAAGAGATGGACTCACAAACTCAAGGAGAGATGGCTGGAAAGGAAAGGAAAAGATGAGTCCAAGGAGGATGAGAGAAACACGGTGAGTTTTACAAAGTTAATTCATTTCCACTCATAAGATTAAAATCCGCTGATTTATGATTCCAGAGTTCAGCACAAAGCCATCTTACCAACACAACATATCAAAACGCAGAAATGACCGTCCCATTGCTAGGCAGCAGTGAGAACCCGACAGCACAATCCGAGGACGACACGACTGACGCATTTATCAGGTCATTAATCTGCAGTACTGTGCTTGCACTGACCTGAAACTATTGCAGGAGTATGCAGAAGGTTCCCTGAAAGTTCTTACAGATATTGAACCTCTAATGTGAAATGTGTAAGATTTGCTGCTGTGTATTGGGAATTTCTCCATTGCGAGACTAATAAAGGTTTTCTTATCTTATCTTATCTTATCTTATATTTCTGAGATGTTTCCAAATAATCACTGTGACTGAAGTCGGGCTGTTTTCCTCCACCACAGTGTTTGATGAGTACCACACCCTTGACACTTACAGTCTCTTAATCAGCCATATGTCAAACAAAAATCAGCTTTTAAAAGACTGTCATTCATCACTCATACAGGCAGTGATGAATGTAAAATTAATTAATGAATAATAAAATGCAGGAGAACACCGAATTCCTAATAACACAGTGCTTACTAAAGTTACAAAACAAATTACTTTTTTATTATCTACATTATAGAACCCGTAAGAAAGTAAAACTCTGGTATTTACAGCTTGAAGATGGTGAAAGGCATTGTGGGAGGATTCAAATTCACATTATTGTCAGAGGGAGTGACATTGTTGTTTTCAGCGCATGACTGACATACCCATAAAAAGCAATGGAGGAAGGCTTCAGAGAGATTGGCGTTTTCAAGCTGGACGCACAGTCACTATTTGAAGTTGGTGTCAGCTAAAAACCCAAATATTAAGGCTTAGTGCAGACTCTGTGCTGTCGAAAGAGGTTTTGTAGCTTCAATAACACTACGTTCCTCCAAAATACTTGGATCGCACTGCACCATAATATTCATTCAAGCGTAAAGAGAAAGTCAAAGCAGTTTGTGAGTGCAGGAGGTCCCCAATTGTAATCATTATATTCACAATCCATGTATGTTATAAGTGTAGGGTATTACAATTATAACACGAATAACTGAATATGTCAAGGAAATTAACTTCCTTTATTTTGGATGTGACTTAAAAATGTAATTTATGTTAAGTGAAGTCTAGAAAAACTGTCTTATACATTTAGTTTTACAAGTAGACACTACACAAATAATTCTGCTAAATACTACCTTCATGGGCATTACAATGGATTTAGTGGTTAGCAAGACGACTTCACATTCGAGAGGTTCTCGGCTAAGGCCCTTCCATGGGTAGTTAACATTTTCTCTCCATTCCTGCGTGGTCTTTCTTCAGTTATATATATAGGTATACCAACTTCCTCCTACATTCTAAAAATATGCATGTTTCAAGGATCAGCTGGGAGCTCACCAGTCACTCAGGAAAATGCAGAGAAAACAGATGGATGAATGGATGGATAATAATTTTGCAGGGCAATTAACTAACTTACTAAAGGCATGGAATCACTCAATAACGAGTTGGGTTTCCGGTTTGGCTTCGTTTTTAATGCTTAGAATCACAAGGCATATCATTTAAGTCTCTTAAGCTGTGTGGGAAAATGGCCCATGTCATCTATTTGCGACTAAGGTGACCTCCATTTTGATTTCCTTTTCTTTCAGATCAAGCGATGACTTTCAGTTTAGCTTCAGCTCAGTCAGCTTGTTGGAGGAGATTGTCTCGGGCCAAGAGTGGGCCAAGTTCCTGAACACTGACTTGTCAGACTCCTCAACCAACCAGAAAACACCAGAGAAGACACTGAGCAGCCCAGATGTCACACCTAAACCAAGTCATAATGGTCCATCCAATTTTGCTACCCGCCAGACAGAAGGTGGGAACAAACAGTGGAGCTTCAAGGCCAGTGAGCCGCTGCCAGTTCATAATGATCCTGTCAATGCAAACTTCCCGGACGAGCCTGCACAGAACAGCACAGCACACAGAGAGGCTGATCAATCGGAGCCAATGGAACAAGGTCAAAGTCAATCATATGTGCAACTGAAGCAGAGTGGACTCACACAACCAAAAACTTCCTATGTGGAGGTTAGACACCACTTAAGTGTTCATGGCACAGCCCAAAAAGAATGAATGATGTTAACATAAAGGTATGTTAACGTGTTTCCCAACCTTTACTGAGCCACGGCACATACTTTACAGTGTACCTTCTTCCACCAGCATTTATTTGTTCTGCCTCTCACTACGCTTTGCTGGCAGAGGCACACCAACAAAAAGATTTTCTGCAGTAAATGAGTAATAATTTTGCAGGTAAATTCAATGAAGTCAGATAATTTCTCACCACATCCCTGATGATCTCTCACAGGATGCTAATGGCTTGTGGCACATTGGTTGGGAATCACTGCATTGACAAACAAAAAGGCAAGAATAATACTTTGCATCCTATATTCTTGTCTTGCAGCGAGCAGACATTTTGGATGACTCACCGCCGACCAGCAGAGTCAACAGGAAGCGACAACACCACTCAGCTGTGACATCTCAAATGGGCTGGGGAGGAGAGGGACAACAAAGACAAGGAGGTCAGATCTCAAAAATGATCACAAACAAAAACCACAAATATAACCTATAAGATGCACGTAACTAATTCTTTCTTTGGTTTCAGAAGAGTTGCCAAACAGCAATAAGACGGACGGTGCAGAGCAGAAAACCACCCCAGTCTTCTTTGGCCCGAATGGATCTTCAGCACCTCCTGTTCCCTCCCATTTTTCTCCTCGTGGTTCTGTGCCCCGGAGTGTCCTCAGACACTCCGCATCCCGCAATTCTGATTCCTTATGGGGAAGCAAAAGGGTAAGTAGTGTGGAATTGTGAGGCGAGTGGCCCATGCAAGTCTCATTGCAGACGATTCCACTCCTGAAGCCACTCGTCACACAACTCAGAATCAATTTCAGATTTTGAGTTTGTGTTTACAGTATTTTAAAAAAATCATACTCACAATAAACACTGACTTGAAGCAAGAAATTTCCAAGTCAATGATCACATAAAGGAAACAAGGAGATCCATATCTTCTTACAATATATTTGGACATGTAGTCTGACTGCTTTGACAAGAGCTCTTGGTTCTGGAGTTTAGATCTATTGAGGTTTGAAAAAAAAAATCCCCAGAATGTCTGCAGCATTTCAATGAAGATGTCTTGAAATACAAGTAGCTGCTAAAAAACTCTTCTACAACTCTGTAGACCAGTGTTTGCCCACAGTCTGATCTATTCTTCACATGCCACAATGGCATATTTAGCATACAATCAACAAGTGGATGGTTACTGATACAATTAAAAAGATAATGAGGATCATGGTGAATGATTGATTGGACTGCTTGTATCGAGGCATATACTGTATTATGTGCTGTAGGTCCAGTCTTACTAAGGTTCTGGCTTCATTTTGTTGCGCTCACCTATGTGAGTGAAGCTTTACTTTTTGACCCAAATGCCTCTTTCTTTGCTTCAGAGACGAGTGGAGCCCAACAGGCGGGTGCATTTTGCAGAGACAGTTCAGGTGATACCACCGATTGAAGTAGTTCTTGATACTTGGGACTCAGAGGAGGAATATGGAACAGAACTGGGGATTGGATCAGAGGAAGAGGAGGAGGAGGAGGAGGAGGAGGAGCGCATGGCAGCAGGGGAACAGAAGGAGGTGCCGGCACGCCGACATGCTCTTCCTGCTTGGATACGGGCCCTGAAGAGAAAGAACACTGGCAGGAAGCACAGTTAGTAATTATGCCAGTGAAACCTGTCTTTTGCTCACTTATTTACACTATTTAAACACACTTGTCTATGGGAACCCATACAATATATGCATCAAAAATTGTGCCTTCACAAAGATAATAATGCACAATTTTGATCGACACAAAAAGGTATTAGCTGAACAATGTTTATTATAATGGTTGTTTGCAGTGGTGTAGAATTGTACTGCATCATATTGAGAGCTGTGCAGTATTTTGGTTACCTCATGCAGTTACTGAAGTGTTACATTTGTGAATTTCCCTTGTGGGTGAATAAAGTATCTATCTATCTATCTAGCTATCTATCTATCTATCTAGCTAGCTAGCTAGCTAGCCATCTAGCTAGCTAAATGGTGCAGTACAGTACATTTCTACACCACCGCGAACGATGATGGCCTTAATTAACACCGATCAGTTAACAACCATTTAAACTGAAATCATGGATTGGTTTATACATATATAAGTAAATACACGGTACATGTATTTGAAGATAATTTCTGGAAACATTTGCAAAGACTGAGAACTATGTAGTACTGAACTGCAGAGATATATCATTAAATTGTTTTTCACCATTTCAGTTTTCCAGATTTTTTTGGGGCGTGGAGTCCGGCAAGCCCGTCACCCAACTCCCCCAACATATAAAAAACTTGCTTTGCATCAGTGGTTATCTGGCACAATTGTGAGTTACTTACAATTCCAAGGCCCATTTCTACAACTACAGTACAGGATTCAGTTATCTATTTAGCTAGCTTGGCAACCCGAAAATACATCTTCCCAAAATGCCACGATTTACAGAACAACTCATAAATCCCCAAGCGAGAAGTGGTGCAGTGGACGAATCTGTCACTTGTCCCCTATCTAATATAAGCCGCAGAAGCTTGTTTGCTCTGGAGCTAGCTGGTGGCTCGCGCCTCTCATCGTGGTGTGAAGCATCCAGTGACGAGCGGGCAGGATAAATTCTAGCGATATATTAAGCGCATTTGTTTTTGTGGCTAAAATATGCAGAGATATGCAGCCATAAGAAAGTTGCTAGACAAAGTACCATCCAATTTTCACCTTGGCATGATTTTGCTGAATCAACGGAAACATACACCATTTTAAAGCTTTTTTTTAATCATTCAAATTTGGTAGCATTGTTAATAATAGTCCTCTCCATCCTGTGTCAAATTTAAGGTTAATCCATTTATTTTCACTGAAAAAGGTACCGTACTTTGACACCTCTCTGTCCGTGTCAATCAAAACCAAACAATGTCTTTGTAAAGGCAGAATTTTTGATACAGATCTTTGTTTCCTGTCATTATATTGTGCAAGTGGACATAATGTTCCTGTTGTAATACAAAACACGCTCTCACCACTTCATTATGTACACATCTCACAATGTCATGATCTTTCTGATGAAACTGCACAGTTTGGATTGATTATGACAGTATTATCAATAAACAATATTTGTAGTTTGCAGTGGTGGAGAGTGGTGCACCACATCAAACTGAGAGACATTTCTAATACTTAGTAATACAAGCGGGGCCACTATTTACTTTAATCATCTCTCAAGGGTCTTTCTTGTATTCAACCACATCAGGCAGTTGTAGGAAATGAAGTAGTGCATGCTATTCGAGTTTCCTCAAAATACTGGAAGCACTATAACCGGCCTTAATAGTATTGTTCACCAGGATGCCTCCAACCAAAATGGCACTTGTATATGTGACGTACTGTTTATGCAGTAGCATGGAGATTTGTCATTATTACAGGGATTTATACTGAAATCTCAGAACTCAAGTACCCTTAATAATGTTTGCTATATCAGTGTTTACTTTACATGAGGACTCACTGTTGATTCACAGAGTACAAGTTTAAAAGCTCCAATTAGCTTTGAAAGTGTCAGTCACATCATTATGGGAGTGGCAGCCCATGTTAGGAGGTGTTTGCTGATAGAGATGATAGTATTGCTTCTTATACTTGTGCTTCGTTCTTTATTTATTAAAGGTATTGTTTGATTAGTTGTACCTTTCACAACCTTTGCCATGCACTAATTGGATTACTTGAAAATATTTAAACCCATATTTACTTTTTTTTAAACTTCAAACTGGAACTGAGGCAACACAGTAGCCTAATGGTTAGTAGGTCAGGTTTACAGTCGAGAGGTTGTAGGTTTGAATCACAGCCCGGCCCTTCCTGTGTAGCCTTTGCATGTTCTCCCTGTGGGCTTTAGATACTCTGGCTTCCTTCTTCGTTTCAAAAAAACATGCATTGTAGATTAATGGAAGATCTAAAAATGTCTAATGGTGTGAATGTGAACGCGAATGGTTCTGATGTTTGATGCCCCCTGTGGTTGGCTCACAACCAGTTCAGGTTGTGCCTCGCTTCTCCCCCAAAATCAACTGGCATTGGCTACAGCTCACCTGCGGCCCTACTGAGGATAGGTGGTATAGAAAATGGACAAAGCAGCAAGTACCATGCACACACAGTCTTGAGTAAAGGCGCTTATTTTCCAAAATCTGCGAAGTCCACATTCCCAGCATGAAATGTGACGGTAAGACATGCAGCCTGACTTTTATGTATAACGTTTGAGTTGAACAATTATGTCTGGCAGTCACACCCACAGGGTGGAACTGATAATTTGAGCCACACCTCATGAAGCAATGAATAACACCTAACCCTTTTAACACTGTACCTTCCTGCTGATCTGGCCAATTATTAAAAGATTAGATTAAATTATATTGGATTATTTTAGTCCCACAAAGGGGAAATTTGCATTATTTCAGCAGCAATATATAGGAAGGTACAGGAAATAAAAAAAAAAAAAAATCCTGAACACTAACGGCTAGGCTAAAACCCTAAGATGCCAATTTATCCACCATTGATCTCTTTAAATGGGAAATCAAGTAAATATTGTCCATATTGTCGCTGTGTGTAATTGTGAGCGCAAAAGGATGTTTGTCTATGTGTGCCCTGCGATTGGCTGCCAACCAGTTGAGGGTGTAGTACGTCCGTGGCTCTCGCGAGGATAAATGGTTCAGATGGCTGAATGGATAATCCAAATTTTAAAATTGAGAGACCCCACACAATTAGGGCAAGAAAAGCATCCACCAATGTGTCCTGTTATATTGTGTGGTAGGCTACTTGAACAATTGTTTTCCGAGCAGATCGTGGAGGAACTAAAAATTTTTAAACAGACAAAAAACACGATAATTGGTTTTGATAATCTTTTACAGACCAAATATGAGTGGGCCTTTCCTGAAACGCTCAAATTAAAGTACGTCTTTAGATCACCTGAATTTTTGATTTCGATATATGGAAATATAGTTCCTTGCCCTTTATAGTCCGACAACCATCTGCAATCCAAACTACCTCCAGTGAGGGAAAGCTGAAAGGTCATTTTTAAAAATTTATTGATTTATTTTTATGTTTGTGTCCTTGCCTTTTTGGTTGGCTTTAGATAATGACCATGAGAAAGCATTCAGTGAGTTCGAGTACTTCATAGCCATTTCCATTACATGCATGATATTGATTGCTGTGATCATCAAACCATGTGGCTAACTGCTGTCAGTTCATCCGAGACCTCCCTTCACAGTCACTATATTGGCTAATTCCCAAACAGAGCCATAAAGAGCCTCTTAGCTGATCTAATAGCCGCTTGGTGAAAGGAGGAAGGCTCCATTTCGACGTTTGGTGTGTCTATAACAGACAATTCGGTTAGTATCTGAAATGAAATTGTGGATGTGCAAAATAAACAGAAATTCTCTCCGTGACAATACATTGGAAACGGAAATTGGTACACTAGAGCTCAGCTAATCAGAGAGTGACTAATAATGGTCCGTTTGGAAATCTCAAGTGAGACAAACATGTATTATAATGCTACCACGCACACACATGCACACATACACACACGCACGCACAGAAGTGCAGTCTAAAGAAGTGGAAGTTTATTCTTGTCTATACAGTATCTGTCACAACCCCACACGATAAAGACGAGGACAAAGAACTTACTATTTATTTTGTACCATGGAAAGAAATTACTACAAATATGTGTGATACATTTCTTCTCACTATAGCTCATGTAAGCAAAGCAAACAAGAGACAGCTGCAATATTGTGGAGGTTGCGGTGGTCCATCATTAACTGTAGTGACAAAACAGAGTCACTTGCAATGAAATTATAGCTGTAATGATTCAATAATGCATACTCCCTGACTTTCAATAATAGACACAGCTCCAACAAAGCCCAACTGAATCGGCAAAAGTTGGAGAAGTGTGCCTTTAAACTGGGGAATAATGAGATTAGTTATGCTGAAATATGGGTGCCGCAGGAAAAGAATTTTATTGTCACTGCAATACGTATTTGCTCTTTGTGACTCTTTGAATGTTACCTGTGCCGTATGATGTCAAAATGGCAACCCCCTGACATGGATGAAAACGTGGATTAATCTGCTTAAATTTTATTCTACCAACACAATATGAATCAGAAGGTCATGTTTAGACTAGTGGGGCCACATTAAACATATTGTTGCAAAGATTATTTTTAATACCGATTTTGAGGGTTGCAGTGAGCAGAGGTTTTGTTTTAGAATTGTGGTGTGTTTCAGGTGGTGGGTTAAAAAATGGGTGGGTGAAAATTAATGTGTATGATTTTGTTCTTCTTCGTTTATCTTGTGAGTCAACGATTAAAAAAAAAAAAAGATTTAAATATGAATTAATGTTTCCACTCTGAGTTTCATGGCTAGACACAAGGCTAACGAGGCTCAACCAAAGGGCATAATCCTGCGGCCGTCGCTCTTCAATGTTTACTTCTAGATTTGCTTATCATAAATACTCCATGAAGTTGCTCTGCAGTGCAGTCCGTCTTTACACAATTCCTTAAGCTTATTGAACAAAAACTGCAGAATCCACAGTCAGAAAAAGCTTAATGATTGGTGGGAACAGCAAGAGGTTCCGTTCGATCATCTCCGTGTCACACAGGTTGGTCAGCAGTGGCTAGAGAATGGGCTCCAGAGTCGCACGAGCTCTTCATAACTTCTTTGATGGACATCTGGCTGCTCGGGCTCGGAGCGAGGGACGCGTCTATCTGAGCCTCTATCTGAGCCTCTATCTGAGCCTCTATCTGAGCCTCTGACACCTAAAGACGTAGGTGAAAAAAAAAATTGCAAAACAGTGGTTGATCACAGGACATTGTGAACTCAAGGGAATGATTTTACCTCTTCAAATTTCTTGGCTTTGTATTGCTCTGCTCCTTTCAGGAAGTTCAGGAGGATGATGTCACAAAGAACTGTACCCTACCAAAGACAGAAAATTAAGTGAAGATGATGGTAGCGTAAAAAAAAAAAAAAAAATCATTTTCATGATTGGGAAACTTACAAGTCCAATAGAAGTGAAGGCAGCGACCAGGTTGATTAATGTTGGGATCGTGTCAAACTTTCCTGCCTAAAACAAAAAATAAGGCATTCAAAGTCTTACACAGTTTAACTTTTCTGGCAGGACTGCTGAGTGGCACACAAATAATCTTGGGAAGATATGAAGATTAGTAGCACAACATCCTCAAGTAAAAAGGAAGAGAGAGGGGAAAAAAAGGCAATACACAAAGTGTCATTCTCTTTGTTTTATGTTTAGTTTGACAGGAAAATTCAACTGGGGCATAACACAGATTGAAGCTGATTTTTTTGAAGAAAGTCCCAAAGAAAAGTGAGCTGAGTTGACTTCACAGTCACAATTCAGCGCTCATATCTCAAATATTATTCATTGTCCGAGCACCTCAAATCTCAAAACTCAAAAGTGGGGTCATTCGTATCACGAGTTACCACTGTATAAAATGTAAGTCTAAAAATAGACTCGCACACTTGCACAGTCCCGGGTCACAGTCCTCCTTCAAACCCTGGTGATCAAATGTGAGTTTAAACAAGAAACTCCACCCTTCAACTCACTTTGCCGGTGACCATGACATCAAAGCGGATGGCGAAAGCTTTGTGGAGCGTCCGATATTCAGTACCGTTCTGCATCTTAAAATATTTGGCAAACCTATGCAAAGAGAAAGACTGCATGAGGCAGGAAAGGGAATGACAGTGGGAGAGAATGAGCAACCAACCTGAAGTTGAACCCCTTGGAGACGGCGTTCTTGGCGAAAGGAGCATCCAGTCGGGTGAAGGAGTACTTGGGTACACAATATTCAATGTCTAGGTCTAGATTACACTTCCACTCAATGTTTATTCCGATTTCACCACCCTGGAAAGGAGAGAGATGGGATACTGTAATTACTGAGGACCTGTAAGTGCATTCAATGCAAATATGGTAAGCGCAGAAGCAGAGCACAACTGAACACAAATACTGCAAGCAGGTGCATCTCGATAAATAACAAAAAAGGGAATTTTTTGAAATTTCTGAAATAAAATTATATGATACAGAGTTTCATAAAACATGCAGGAAAATCATTCTCAGAAGGCAAATTGCTACACCACAGAGGAAGTCCGGAGCCCAGATTCAAATGTCCAACCTCAGAACTGCAAAGTGGATGTGATAACCACATTTCTGCCGTGCCGCATTTGAGCACCGACAGATCTAAAGAAGAATCTAAAGTAGACCTTTGTAGCCAGGCCGGCCACATTCTGTCCAGTGTATTTCAGGATGTCGCCCACTCGAAAGATGGGGCAGAAGGGGTTGGTTTCAGGGTTGTATTTACACTTCTTTATCTCCTCAGACGTCATGGAGGATGGAAAGTTTCCTCTGGGGGAGAAATAACAAACTTGGTTACGAGGCAACAAAGCCGTATAGAGTCTGCGGCGAGTGCGTGCGACCTACCTGGTGATGTTGAAGAGGGGGAAGCGGATGCTGTTCTTGATGAAGATAGTAAAGTTTTCCGCGTCGAACATGGGTTCACTGCAGGGGCAGGAGCACAGAAGCGGGGTGAGAACGGAGCGAAGCGCATGTTCGACTATGGGCATCTGGGTGACATGTCTCACATCACGATGGTGTCGTTCTCGACCGGACACCATCCTTCCACCTCACACTGACCTTCGGACTCGTTCCCCCCGTGAAGACAAAGACCAGTAATCCTCCCTGGCACATCAGAGGGAGTGAGAACAGCTCCAATTTTAATCTTATTTCATCCGCTTAAGGGGGCACTTTTCCCATGCAATTTTCATGAAAGTCACTTCATATTTGTTAAAATTGTCAGTCTGCCCCAACAGTATGACATTAGCAAAATAAACTGTGGGAAAAAAATTGTTTGTCCCTCTCAGGGCCAGTCTTAAAACTCTAATAAGATCATTCAGAAAACACTGCACCCGAGGAAAAACAGCCAACAGTCGGGACGGACAAGATTTTAGTCGTTTGACGTGCACTCTTGGCCCCAAGCGTAGCCTTGCACTGACCAGGAGCTTTGCTAATTCTATGCTGGAATAGCCACCTCTGTAAAAAAAAAATCCTCATTTGCTAGTAAGTGGGCACATGGCAAAAAGAAGCAGAATGAAAAGGCCTCAGGCAGCTGAGGATTCTGAAGCGATGGGAAATTAGCAACATTTCTGCGTAACAGGTAAGTTAATGAACTCCTTTCAATTTTCAATTGTCCATCCCCCAAAAAATAAAACTTCAAACTGAACATTTAGTATACACTTGGATAATGGCATGCCATGATGAATGACCATGTTTGACAATCACGGACTTGGTCAGAGACTCGGGGGAGGAGGGATTCGTGAAGCGAAGCTCCATTCAAATCTTGCTAGCCGTATTAAAACTGAAAAAAAGAGAAAAAAATCCCTTAAAATATTAAAGGAAAAGGTTTTATTATGACATGAAATTGAGCCGGGAGCACTTTACATCCCAAATCTCTGATAGGAAAATTGTTTTGAATCTAGAACAACTTTGAAGGCAACCACCATCACAAAATCGATCGGGCTCGACCTTGAAGGTCGCACTGTCGTCCTTCCCACAAGAAGAAAACATGCTTTTACCGTTTGTAAGGATGGAACCAATATGCTGCTCGCAGTCGTCATCTGTCTTACAGCTATACTTCTCCCCATTCTGAAACACGGAAAGACACATTTGTGTTGGGCTCACTTTAAATCGGTTGACACAGAACTCGGTTTCATTTGGTCAAACCAAGCAAATTTATTTGACAAAAATAGCATAGAAGATCACATAGGTTGAGTTATCTGTCAATTTGTTGTGTCTATTGATCATCTTGATCATATAAGGCTGCATATAATTGCAATGTGGCCCGTGACAAAAATGAGTTTGACACTCCTGACTTAGCGCATCTCTGCTTTTAGAGCATGAGGTGAGAAGGCACATAACAATCGCATCATGGCCACATTAAATCTTTTTATTTATTCGTGATTTGTTGTCAGTGAGCCAACCAGAATGAGAACCACCAGTTGAACATGACTGCTTCTCATGATGTGACCGAAATATTACACTGGGCAAGAACACATTTTAATCAGAGATGGCTTAATGTGTCCCTTGAGGTATTTTTGATGCCGATTTAAACACCTTGTTTTTCTAGCACAGCAGGTTTTGGAGACATTTTCTTTTTTTTGTTGTTTTTAAGTTTGACCGACAAAAACCTGCACAATAGGATTTTACCATGCATTGTAATTTACAGCTGTGATGATTCATAAAAGAAATTCCACATGGTGCTGAATCTAATGCTTAATTAATTTATTGTTATTATCTTCACTTTTGTATTATTAGTACTGAAAAAAACGGATTTGCTTGAGAAAAATGAGAGATTCGGAGTCAGCATAAAAAAAAAAGAAAAAAAATCTAAAAAAGTTTACTTGTACTTCTGATTAAAAAATAAATAAAAAAAGGAACATCAGCATTATTATTGTCATCTTAGCTGGATTCCACTTCCATAATTGTCACCAGACTATTCTCCGTTGCCATCACTGGTATCCTTCTGTAGAGGTAATGTAAAAAAACTAAAATACAAGTTTTTGACTTTCGAGGTTCCATTCAAAATGTGTCGACCGGGTGTTATGATATAAATTAATTATAGAGACTCGTGAGACATGAACTGGGAAGCCAGTGGAGAGAATAAACAAGTGACGGTTGCATGACATGAAGCATTCTGAGTACTGTACCTCTGTTTGGGCTCATCGGGCACCTTGTCATTCCGAAAGAGTATCATGAGTACAGATTTCAAGACACGACAAAGTGAAAACAAATTGGTGTCCCACCTCTCCACATTTTCCTTGGAATTGATTCTCAGTGATGATGAGTTTCGTCATGATGCAGAACACGGCTGCACCCTGCAACACACACACACACACACACACAACGTGCCACCCACTCCCCCCCCCCCACGCACACACACACACACACACACACACACACACACACACACACACACACACACACACACACACATTAGCTAAACCGGCACCCATCCAACGGAAATAATTTGAGCTATATCAAACGATTTGCCTTCCCATAAAGTCATGTTGCATGCTGGGTGCTCTTCATACCTGTTGGGGGAAGACGTAATCAGCCACATCCATGAGGTGGTTTTGATGGTAGCCGAAACCTTTCACTTTAGTCATGACGGATGACTCTATGCCGGTGTCAAACACTTGGTAGGCTTTCTCGTGGATGAACACCCAGCTGCACAGAGCATCAATGTTCAAACACAACAAACCACATCACTATGTAGCACAGCAACCTGTCACAATATTCTGAACTGATTGAAGTTTGTTCACTTAATCAAACCGTCTGTCTATCTATTTTCTATAGCCCATGTGCACTCCTCACTTTGGAGGTGAGCTGCTTTTTAGATCTATATTTTTTTTTAGATAAATTTTTTTCCTCTAAACATTTCAGGCCTTTTCAGTCCCGATCCTCCATGAATACCAGATGTCCACTGTATATAGCAGAGGTGTCCAATTCCAGGCCTCGGGGACCTCCAGCCTGTTTTTGATGCCTCCCTCCTCCAATGCAGCTAATTCAAATGATCAGGATTGTCATCCATTTAAATTGGGTGTGTTGGAGGAGGGAGACATCGAATACAGGCTGGATAGGGGCCCTTGAGGACCAGGGTAGAGCACCCCTGGTACAGGGAAACAACCATTAAAATTAACACCTACAAAAAGCCAGGCCGACGTACGAAGACTCGGACAAAATAGAATATTACTGTACATATGAACAAAATAATTTTCTTCTTTCCAAAAATACTGTTAAAAATGACTGAAGCAATTATGCTGTATTACTGTACTATACTGTGGTCTATTTCGAATATTTTGTCTGTCACACGTACCGTAAAATGTTTAACTATGATGTAGTACACTGCATATTGTGACGTGAATCAATGTCCTTCATGTTTCCATCCATCCATCCATCCATTTTCCAATCCGCTTTATTCGCACAAAAGTCGCGGAGGGTGCTGGAGCCTGTACCAGTCGTCTTCAGGCAGTAGGCGGGGGACACCCGGAACCGGTTGCCAGCCAATCGCAGGGCACATAGAGACGAACAACCATCCGTACTCACAGTCACACCTCGGGACAATTTAGAGTGTTCAATCAGCCCGCCATGCATGTTTTTGGAATGTGGGGGGAAACTGGAGGACCCGGAGAAAACCCACACAGGCACGGGAAGAACATGCAAACTCTACACAGGAAGGCCGGAGCTGGAATCGAACCCGGCACCTCTGCACTGTGAGGTTGATGCGCGAACCACTGGATCACCGGGCCTCCTTCATGTTTCCCTACTTTTTTTTTTTTTTTTAAACATCATTAAAGTGTATTTTCAACCAAAGGACAACAAATGTGAACCTATTTTGTCTTTCAATGTCCACGTCATTATTTTTTTGTCAACCCTGCAAATAACGTTGTCAAACTAAAATTGATATGAGTTCCATGTACAAACTGTCACAGCACTGACACGTTGCGCTTCTCTCACTTATTCAAATGTGATTTTTCAACACGAAATGACAATTTCTCTGTAAACTTGCTGCTCCTGGTGACAGCACACCAGCAGTCACTCACCCGACAAAATAGGCGATGATGAAGACTTGCACGATCCTGTTGATGATGCCCACCGACCAGCTCTTGACCACCACAGATTTGGTGGTCTCGTAGGTGAAGAAGTCCGTGACCCAGCCCCACACCATGGCGGTCATGCCCGAAGCCAGCAATATTTCTCAGTGGAGGATTTCTATGGAAAAGATGCGGCTTGCTTACGTTCAACACTGACCCAGGCTCAGCTGAGATTTATTGAAGATGTGGCTGATGGTTGTCCCTCTACTTCTGCCACTCCATTGCTGGACCTCCCCTTCCTCTGTGCAAATGAGGGGAAGAAAGTGTCCCTCCCTCTTTGTCCTCATTCTCATTTTTCATTCACCACAAATCCCCCAGTGGAAGTGTGTGCATTTGCACAGCACACATTTTTCATATATGTATACACACACACACACACACACACACACACACACACACACACACACACACACACCCTG